ATGCTAATGACCATGAACGAGAAAGACACGTCGAAAGACGCACAAAAAAACACTGTTTTGCAAACACACAGACCGAAGTATTTACAAAAGATAGGAAAAAGCAATAAGATAAAAAAATAAAAATGCCCAGCAAAACTAAAAGTGAAAATAAAGCTGTGTTGTTAGCTTTGTTAGCACTTTCTCTGTTAGATAATTGCGCTGATAATCAAATCCTTCGTCGTCATCGTCATCATCGCCTTTCACCTTTGTAGAAGTAAAAAGTGGAGTGATTTTTTATTGTTACCATTTTGTGTAGCCATTTTTCTGCTGCCGGGATCGACAATCAACCGGTGGTAGTGATGCGAGTGCCAGAAAAACTTTTTACCAGGTAGAAGCTCCTCTTTTTCCTCTTAAAACTGCCCCAGCGTCGTGATCGACGCGCTGATAAAAGGGCTGCCCATCAGGAGTAATTGTAAACTTCTTTTCTTAACAAAAAAATAATGTGCATGTTTTTACAACAAAGTAAATCAAAATGAAGAAGTGAGTGTCATGGGTAGAGAAAGAAAAGGAGAGGAAGTTGGAGTATAAAAAGACATGTACTAAACCTGCCGGCCACCTAATTGGCAGTGGTCATTCTCCTATTCCTTCTCTTCCTTGTTTTCAACTTTTTTCTTTTTCAACTGTCTCTCCGATGAAAACAACCCCCTTTTTCAAAACAACAGCAGCAGCAACCTTTTTATTAGTGTAGTGACCACATACCTAACCCTAAATTGATAGTTTTGAATAACAGGATTTTTTGAGTGAAAAAGTCATCGGAAAGTGACAGTGGCAGCTATCTCGGCTCAAAAACATAAAAGACGCACTACAACTCAGCCTTCGGTTTGCCATGTTCTACTTCTACCTCGTCACTTCGGTGCTTACCGTCCTCGCCTTTGTGCTCCCGCGGAACTTTTTTCGCGCTCCCTCAGTTTGGGAGTCTAATAGGAAGAAGAAGAAGCAACAAGCCCATGGAGGATCTTCAAGATCAGCCAATGAAAACCAAGGGGACAACTTTCGGGGCACCCGCTACGAGCACATTCCCCTCTCGCTCGACTACGGCGTTCAGTCGCTGGTTCTCGATCATGGACCCACGCGGACGTCCATTTACGGGAGTTTGCCGGTGATCAAGGGCGAGGTGGTGAAGCACATCGAAGTTCTTGACCCAGAGGCGACCACCCTGCTTGATGTGATGGTCAAGGGTGGGGAGAGGAATAAAAGGTAATAAAACCCCTTTTGAAAGATTTTTTAAATGTTTGAATTTTTCTTTTTACCAGCGGTCGCTGCCTAGGAGACATCAACTCTAGCCGCACCGGCATGACCTGGCTCAGCTTTCCCGAGGTGCTGAAACGCAGCAAGCACCTGGCGGACGGCTTCTTGCAGCTCGGCCTGAAACCAGGCCCCAGCTCAAAGGTGGGCATCTTCTCGAAGAACAGCGCCCAGTACCTGATCACCGAGCTCGCCTGCTACCGCCACTCAATGGTGGGCGTGCCCATGTACGCCAGCTACGGCGCAGAGGTGTGCGGCTTCATTGCCGGTCAGTGCGAAATTACCACCATCTACGCAGACACGGTGGAACGGGTGGAGGGGTCGATTCTTGATCAGCTTTCTCACTTTTCCACCCTGAAGACGGTGATCCTCGGCGAGAACTTCATTCCCGAGACAGAGCTGATTTCGCTAAAACAGCGGGCCAAGCTGGCAAAGATCTCTCTGTACACAGTGGCCGAAGTGGAGGCACTTGGAGAGCGAAATCCCTCCTCTGATCTGCACCTTCCAAAGGCGGCTGATCTGGCGCTCATCTGTTACACCAGCGGCTCCACCGGGGCGCCAAAAGGCGTGCTGATGAGCCACCGAAACGTGGTGGCCGATTTCAGCGCCGTACACTATCATGTAGGCGACTTTGCCATCACCGAAGCGGATACGATCGTCGGCTTCCTCCCGCTGGGACACATGTTTGAGCGAATCTGCGAGTACGCCTGTCTGCAAAAGGGCNACAGTGTCTAGTAGTTGTGTTAAGTCGCTCCTCTTTTCGCTGGCCGTCTCCTCAAAGAGGGCCCAATTTACCAGAGGTAAGTTTCCCTGAATTTCATTGATTTTATTTAAAGTTTTGGAACCTTTTTAGGAAGCTTCCGCTCTGACACTTTTTGGGATCGACTGGTGT